TCATAATGTTTGAAATTTAAACAACATGAAACAGCCAAATAGATAAAAAACTAAAATCTAATTTAATCTAAAATCTAATTATAAAAAAATACCTGACAGGTGAGAAATATTATTATTTACATTGTGGTTAAATGTGAAGGAAGAAAAACCCCGGAGGACTTCCAGACTTTTTTTTTGGTCATACATTTTCTCTGTCCTCCTTTCTTCTTCAGGCAGGGTTTTATGTTTTTCAAGTTTTTAAATTAAAATGATTGATTATCATCTCTGGATCGGTTTAATAGCGTGGTATTTAATTAGATAAGACAATAGAGATCCTTAACCTCAGCTGCCTGAACCAATGTTTATGATAATGAATCATCTGCGTGGCATTCAACTGACCGTGACTCCCGCAGGTTTGCGTTTACAAGACTGGCCTTGTTGCTGTGTCTGAACTCAAACCTCAGCACAAGGTCTGTTTGGTAGCTGTTGATGTATGAGTGCAGATAATCACAGGCATACTGGGATCTTCATGATGAGTGGGCTGTGAACGACACCGTTGACCAATTGATTATGAACAGACATCGTAAATAAAGTGTAGAAATAACATGTGCCACTGCAGCCTGTGACCATCACACTGAGGTAGGCAGCTATGCTTATTAGAATTCACTTTGGTCACCATTAAAATAGATTCAAAATAAAAACCACTTTCTCAGATGACTGGTCCAATGATATTTCAAATTAAATAATCTTTACCCTGCATGCATTGTTCTTAATATTGGCAATTTATTTCTTAATAGTCAGGAGCGTTTTCTGGAAGTTCAAGCCAGCCCCTTATCACCTTTTGTTTCCGAATGCCAACAACTCATACTGGGTTGTCTGTGCACTTTCTCTTCTTCTCTCTCTCGCTCTATAGATATCTCATCCTTCTTAATACCAAAACCAACCATGTGTGATATTGGCTGTGCCGGCTTTTGCAGTGGCCACGATTCACCCGCTGCACTCCAGCACTATTTCTGCTTTTATAACCACCAGGAAACTGCAGTTATTCTGGCTCAGGGTTCCTTACAAGAGTGCGCTGTGTACTTTTGCTTTCTTTCTTTCTTTTTTTTTTCTTACATGTGACAGGAGCAAAGAAGTAAGTTGGAGTCAATCAAATTACCCCTGTGCCATGGTGGTCCTCATGCTCTGATTCTCAAGATGCAGCTGGGGAAACTCAGAGCTGGGCTCAGTCCACATGCTGCTGTATTTGGACCTTTAACATTATGAAGGAAACTTAAAACTATAAACTATAAAATATTACAATAAGATATTTAAAACCAAGCAGGTCTGTAGATTAAAAAAAAAAACAAACGAAAAGATTCTAGAATATATTTAGAAGACCCCT